TAGGAAACCATATCTATACATTCTAAGGGCGTATACTGTCTCATGAAGAGCAGTAATACAGTGAAATAACATTATTTTTACTGTGTAAACATTATTACATGTTATGATAACAGACACATGACATCATATTTTATGTTGATGTTCATTGGCATAGGTGAAAATTGGAAATATTATTTTTACTGTTGGAAACCTGTATCTCAAACCCTGACTAACAAGGACTTTATGTCTTGTGAACCAATTCAAATTATCCATTTGTTTTTCTAAAAAAATTATAGCTGGCCTAAAGAACAGAAAGTGATGGTAATTTCATGGCTGAATTTCAAACATTAAAAGTAGTAATGAGATAAAAAATGGTAACCTTTTATTGTTATACACAAAATGTTTGATGATTTTGATACCTTTGCTACTTTAATTTGTACTTGACTTTCTGTTACAATAATAAGAATTAAAATAAAAAAAAGTCCTACATTGGTTGATACTGTCACCAAGAAAATCATTGGTAGACAGCATAAAAACCCTTCAGACTGAATGCATGTATACGTTTATGCCATGGAGGTTATACGGTTCAATTCTATCAGTTTAAGTCTGGAATATGAATCAGGTCCTGTACAATCGAAAAAAAATCACATTGTAGGCAACCTTACACTCTCATAACATAAAAGCTCGAATGTGACTAGGTTTAGTCGACATAATCATAATCTGACGTTATTTTGCAGAAGTTACTCGACGTATTAACCTTTGACATTGTTGGAGTAAGGCAACATATACACATGACGTAAATAATAGATATTTCACAACTTCCAGGACCTGGAATAAGAATTTCCGTTCATAACCACAATACTTTTGTATTCAACAACAAGAGCAATTAAAATTACTTATTGATGTCCAATTCACACCAATTCATGTCATTCGAAAGCATACGAACATTGTAAACACTCGTACGTCACACAATAATGTTTGTTGTTGTTTCTTGTATCTTTCTTTCCTCTTCCAGCCTTCAACGATTCATTTTTACTGTAGTTTAACAGGTTTTCGACGAAATCTTTGTAACTAATTCATATATTTATACTTACGTGTCATTTTGATAACCTGTTATAATGAATCCTATCTCAGCTTATAATGCTTTCAGGGGGAAACCCTTTCAAAAACGACGTCTTCCCTTCTCTGCCACCTAAGACGACAGCTATTGCGCATGTGTGCACATTTTTAGCCAATCACTTGTTGTAGTATTTCTCAGCCCAAATCCATTTATTTTTAAGCAGGGAATATATACTTAGCCGTACTTGCGTATTTTGCGTAAGCCCCCTCCAAAACGAAAGTGAAAGTTATTGCGATTTTTTAAAATGTTAATACCTTTCATCATGTCTCCATGCCCAAAATTGTATGATTGTGTAAGTTTTGTCTATATCACTGTCGACCACAACAGAGATGAACTCATCAATAATAATAATTATGAAAACGATAATAAAATCACGGATTACAGTCAGAACCTACATGTACCTGTGCATCTGATCAAGATTCTTGTGGCCATAGCATGTTCATTTGTTTTAAGAATACATACATCTTGGAAACTAACAGCACATGGAGGTTCGTTTAACTTAAGAATAGTCACATCTATGAAACTGACAGCTCAGACGAATACCGGAAAATGGCACAGAAAGGAACAAACTTGACAGTATCATTGACACAAAACAAGTAAGGGTAATACTACGGGCTTAGATACAGATCTATTTCTAAAGTCGTGGTTACACAGTTTGTGCGTCTCTGGTTGCTCGTTACTTGTTATACGTAGAATCAAACCATGCTTTTCGGTTGCAGAATTTGACAAGCAAAAAGTTGGCTGGGGTGGGTGGGGCAACTTTTTTCACGTGATCTGAAACACTGTTTTACTGACAATATTTTCTTCCTTTTTTAACGTCTGTTGTGTACTGTATTTCAGTGGTTAAATTCTGGCATAATTGTGGCCATAACCAGGGACGTATATGACAGGCATATACGTCCCTGCCATAACTGAAAATGATTTTACTGGCGATATATGCCACATTTTAAAAGCGTCTGTTGTCTATTGCATTCAATTTGTTAAATTCTGGCATAATTGTGGCCATAGCTGAAATTAAATATTCACCAACAATAAAAGAATTTGTGCGTCGTCGTCAAAGGTAGACACCGTATCGTCAAAGACAAAGAATGTGCTAAGCTACACAGCGTTTCCAGCATTTTATTTCATTTTTATTTTATTGCTATCATCCAAATTGTCATGCATTTCATTCCACATTACTTGTACTTTGAAAACACGCATTAATAGGCATAATGTGTGCGTCGGTAAATTGAAGGTATAACACTGATTTAATATTGCTATTGATGTTGTCACCTATGATTTCTGAAGCAATAATGCAATGAATAGGATTTCAAAATGGAAAGAAATATAATACTTTGTCACAACCCAGTATCATCAATTTAGTCAGTCACTAAACTTTAATCAAGTGACTCACAATACATCCGAATTTTTAGACACAGTGAAAACAGCTGGTCAGACCAAGGCACGAAAAACGGTAACCCAGACAAAGGCAACAACAGACCAGTAATTACAAAGTCCAAGCACATTCCACCATGGGTTTTGGAATGGACTTCCTTGGTAACTTCAAGTAGTACTCCTATCTCCCTGCAATCAGAGCTTAATACGGGTGTCAGACAGCAATATTTCACGTCATTGTGGAGTGGGAAGTAGAATAGGTATTTTTTCCAATTGCAACGAACTTATTTGTTTATTTTTATTGCTCATATGTAAATGCACTGAATCTTGTTGACGGTAGCCAGCTGGCTAGAAGATTCGTATACTAAGCCAGAGCCCGTTACAAATGTGAGAGTGTGCCAGAGACGTATATGTTATATACGTCTCTGAGTGTGCGTAAAGAAGTGTGGTGATGCCGTCTGTGTTCGTTCCTCATCAGATTTTATGAGCAAGGACCCGGATTAGAAGCGTTACGTCTAGCCTGACCGTCTGACAGTGTATATTCTACAATCTGGGTGACAGAAAAGTATATGAGGTAGAGAGGACCAGGAGAGCGGAAGATACTAGATGACAGGTCTGGAAAAGAGCGAGACGTTATAAAGGAGTTTGTGGCTACATGTCCCCTGGAATTGTACTGGACTATTTCATGTTGATGTACATGAATACAGATCTAGAACGATGAAAATCAATGTTTTTGTTATAACTTACTGAGGATTTAGAATGTTCACGACCCACAACAATCTTTTAAATAATTCAGGTATCAGTGTATTGGATCCTGAGGAACTATAACACTAATATAAATCCCAAGCTTCATCGTAGTTCACGAAAAAAAAAAAACATAATTTCATTCCTTTCTGCTTCAGAGGCTATTGTCAAATTTTCTCCATAAACAGAAGCAAAAATGTAAAATTAGGAATTATGTGAAATTCATTTCAGGAACTTTCCGAATTCCGAATTTGCAAAACTATGACAGAATAAATAAATAAATAAATAAATAAATAAATAAATAAATAAATAAATAAATGGTATAGCAAATGATACGTACTCTTGATTATTGCTACGTACTCTTGATTATTTCATTCAGAGGCACCAGAACTTTGGAATGCCTTAAGCTACCAGACGACCTCACCCAGGCTAGCCCGGATTCATGACTTTGTCGGGTTGGTAATTAGTATTACAAGAATTTACGAAGTACTTCGATCGTGAGCGGGTACAGCTGTTGCGACTAATAGAATCCAGTCAAGAAGATTCCACTTGCGTATGTTGAAAATGCTAAAGGAACACAGCTCACATGTGTATAAGGTTCTTTTTGAAAGCACGTTCCGTTGCTTAGATTATTTTCACAAGACACCGGCTAATGTGCCGTAAAACCTAAAGGTTCCCGCGGTATTTTGGGCATACAGCTGTATGTATTTTTATGCGAATGATCCTGTTGTAAATTATTAAAGGTACATATGTCTATTGAATTTTTTTTCACAAAGTGTACTTATTGCAATATGTAATTAGTTCTAGGCTTGTTTTTTTAGAACTGGACATATTAATTTGATCAGGGAAGATAACTCTTTGAAAGAAAGCTGCATCTTCGAAAATCCATCTCTTACATTAGGATACCTTAGGATCTTCTATGGACGCTGGTCTCTTCGACCACTATGTCTGCATCTAATTTATCAGTTTCATCATTTGTAATGTTAACCACGTGACATCTTCCGGTGTTGTCTATACCCAAATTGTGGTTATATTTTTTCCCTGGTATTTCTAAAATTTATCCAGTCCTGCTTCAAAACTTATAATAGTTTTTGCTTGCACCACTGATTCTGGTAGGTTATTCCAATTTTCCACAGATCTGTTAGTAAAGCTGAACTCCTTCGTGTTTGTGTTGCCGCACTGCTTTTGTACTTTAAGACAGTGTCCCCTTGTGGATGTACTTTTTGTTTTGTCAAAGAATCCATCAGTTACTTTTTTGTCATATATACCATTCATAATCTTAAACATTTCAATCATGTCTCCCCTTAAGCGTCTATATTTCAATGTTGGCATCTTTAGCTTCTTCAAACGGTCAATATAATCTAGGTCTTTTAAAGATTGAATTTGTTTTGTAGCCCTTCGTCAGGGTTTTCCATAGGAGCCGGTCGCCGGCCAATTTGACCGGCTACTTTGATCATTTGGCTGCCTACACCAATCTAGTTCCGTACACAACTACACGTACACGGCAGGCCAGCCTCCTACTTTCACTACACAGATTATGGAAAACCCTGCTTCGTTGCACATTTTCTATAAGTTCCAAATCCTACTTTTTGTATGGTGACCACACTGCCTGAGCGTACTCTAAGTGAGGTCTTACTAGTGCCTGGAACCACACTGCCTGAGCGTACTCTAAGTGAGGTCTTACTAGTGCCTGGAACCACACTGCCTGAGCGTACTCTAAGTGAGGTCTTACTAGTGCCTGGAACCACACTGCCTGAGCGTACTCTAAGTGACGTCTTACTAGTGCCTGGAACCACACTGCCTGAGCGTACTCTAAGTGACGTCTTACTAGTGCCTGGAACCACACTGCCTGAGCGTACTCTAAGTGAGGTCTTACTAGTGCCTGGAACCACACTGCCTGAGCGTACTCTAAGTGAGATCTTACTAGTGCCTGGAACCACACCGCCTGAGCGTACTCTAAGTGAGGTCTTACTAGTGCCTGGAATCACACTGCCTGAGTGTACTCTAAGTGAGGTCTTACGAGTGCCTGGAATAAATATCTAAAACTAACCTCGTCCAAGTAGCGGTATGTTCTCCTAATTAGCCCCATGATGCTGTTTGCTTTGTTGACCTGCTGTTGAATATGCTTTCCAAAGTTGAGATGGCTGTCAACTAACGCACCAAGGTCTTTTTCGCCTTCAGAGTGTTCTAACTCTACTTCCTCACCATTTTGACTGTATAGATGGTAATTATACTCTTCTTTGGGGCATTTCCTTGCGCTAATTGTCATCACTTTACATTTTTTTGGGTGGAATTTCAGCAGCCAAGTGTCTGACCATTTCTGCAACATATCTAAATCCTCCTGTAACTTCTTGGTGTCTTCCAATTTTGTAATTTTTGAATATATCTTTGTGTCATCAGCAAATAAATGTTGATGCATTTACATGATCTGGCAAGTGATTGATGTACAAGAGGATCGTTTTGAAAACCATTGACTCGCGGAGATATCCCATCGTTTATCGCTGCTCCTTCTTATGACATATTGTAATTGGAATTATTCGAAAAATTGTAGATTAATGATTTGTTTCATCAGGCATATTAATTTTCTGATACAAGTACAAGTGTAGTTGATTCTGGGGTCAACATAAACATCAGCTTATTATAGATATAATTATAAGCCGTCCTTGAATGTTTCTGACATCTTTCATATATTTAGTGAATATTAAATAAGATCCGAGAGACAATATGTGGGACATCCAAATGAAATGAATTGGTACGAACAAGATGTCATAAGTTTAAAAAATTATGTCAAATATATTTTCAAGGCCAAATTTGTTGCAAATTTCGATAATCTTCTCAACACCAAGATATAGACCTAGTAAAAACAAATACTCTGCATGAAGAAAAGTATCTTGAGATGCTCAACTAAAATTGTGAATTTGATGACCTCATGTTTTCGCATTATCCACTGGAGAGGCGGTACAGTTTATTATATTTTTTATCTGAAAATGACATATTGAGCATAATTTTTTGTCTTTTTTAATTCAAACATGGTTGGACTCTGTAAAATTAGGGTGGTATGTACAGGTAACATTTGCATTAAATTTACAACGTAGTTCAAATTAACTTACTGTGTTAAAAAGATTATTTCTGTGACATATGGTACGGATGCAATGGCAGTATTGTAACTCAGTTCCCTCTGGCTTCTTTTATTTAAATTTATAAGCGTGTTTCTTCCTAAGGATTTTTGTTGAGTAAAGACAGGTTTTGAAGAAGCTGATAACAGTCTGTCATTTGAAGTGAAGTATACAAAGCTTTACAGACATCTTAAACAAATTCAAATGTACATATAAATAATTAAGATTCAACACAGTTCACTATAAATTCTTATTTGCCAACTAACAACAATTTCTTTTCTTTTCAAGTAACAAGAATGCCCAAATCAAAGGAATTCATTTCATCGTCAGAATCAGATTCAGATGAGGTAATACTGTGTGTTGATAAAAGTGTGTTGTCATGAGTTGATGGATGTTGTGTTTGGTCATTTAGTTTATATCCTAGAGCTAGTGGGCTGGCCCAGAAGTGCCAGTTCAGTTAAGCTTCTTCCTAGTCGGTCCATTGTCAATTAATTATTTAATTGATGTATGGTCATAATATTCAACTAGTGGATTAGTTAGATCAGGTTAAAAAAAGTCTGCAAAGAAAAAAGCTTTTTTCCCCTCCATGTTATATCGAATGGTTTATACATTTGAAGATCTGTGTATAAATCATCCATCAATTTTGTATCTTTATAGAAAATAAATTTGTTTCAATTAGATTAGTGATAAAAGTCAAAAGTTCACCTTTTTTTGCTGATTTAGTAAGAATTTATAGTAAGCAATTTATTATCTTTATAATTGTAGCCAAAGCCTAAGAAGAAAAAGAGGAAGGAAACAGAAGTGAAGGAAAAGTCAGAATCTTCACAAAGTGCTGATAAAAAGGTCACAAAAGGAGCAAACGGAGAGCAGATGTTTCAGGTTCAATAGTTTTTTCTTTGAATACCTGTATCTGATAGGTGCTTCTATCTTTAGGCTTTTTCATCAACACTTGAAACTTCGATATTTTGATGTCGTATAATTAGGTAATAATTTAAAATGTTCAATTTTTCATTTTAATTTCATGGGGCATATATTTTATAGTAGTTTGCTTGGGCTTCTTCAGAGGTATTTAATTTCACAGTTGTCTTTCAGTTTTTATCCATGTATACAAGCATAACACTTGATAACAGAGATTTTTATTCATATTGAAAATGTTTGCTAGGTATTTGATTTTGTAAAATCATTAATAATCATGAATACGGTGAAATAAGATTCCCAGTGATTATTACCAACTAGATATTAATCCATGTAAAAAAAATTGCTCAATCTGGACCTGGCGAAGATGCTTTTGTATAAGTGATTTGAAAAAAAAAAATGCTGAAATGTTGATGTATATATGTTATGTTATAGCTTTCCAAGATGCGGTTTGTGAGTGTCAGTGAGTTTCGGGGTAAGGTTTTAGTGGGAATAAGGGAGTACTATGAAGCAGATGGAGATCTCCGTCCAGGCAAAAAAGGTAGGATATTTTGGCACCTTTTTGGTATGTTACAGTTTTTCCTTTCATGTAGTCTGGAACATCTGACATTAACCTGATAATTTAAACATGAGATGCCCTCTTGCTATCTATGCATAGAAAACAGAAGATTGATCTGCTACACGTTTCTGACCACTTGAATTTACAGACATATTAAAAAGCTTGTTACTTTCCTGATGATTTTCAATTACAATTTGACATACTTGGGGTTGTAGCTTATTGTAAAAATCATAATTCTTGCACTTCCTGACAACTCTCTTCAATTTGTAATGTTTTTAGCAGGATGTAGGTCCATCATAGTTTATAATGTGACACCTGGCCCCAGAAAACTTTCTTAAGTTCTGACTAATACCAATCATTGATAATGTCATGAAAAGTAATGTCATATGTGGTTGGCTGAGAATAAACTTAGATCCATGGGCAAGGATTTGGAAAAGCACCTTGAGGACAGGATATCTCAAACTAAACATCATTTATTGCAATCAGATTTGGAAAGAATATAAAGTTTTAGATAACTGATGAAATTTAGAGAAAAAAACGGCCTACATATAGTACCTGTTAACTGTGTTGATTCCTAACCATCAATTTATTGGTTGTTGATAAAAAGCAGTTGTTGACCTGATTATTTTTTAACAGTGTTAATAACTGGTAGATATTGTATCAAGCCATTTTTATGATGTAGTATGTCTAAACAGATTTTGAAAACTTTGAAATGCAAAACATGTAGTAAATTGATAGACGATTAGTATTGCTATTTAAAGGACTTTACAGGAAAATTATTCTTTTTATTGATTGTGCATGTTTTACACACTTCCAGTTACAATTCTATGCTATCTTGATATTCACAGTCAATTTTCATTGTCCAGTTTGAGTACTCAACTTGTTCAGGAAATCTATTTGAAATGTGACAGTTTTGAAAACAAGGCAGTTCATTTGTATTTGGTAGCAAGGCTATTGGCCTCTTTTTGTATTTCAGAAATTTCTGTGCAAAATTCTTATCCTAGACATGTACATATCCTAGGGATAGTACTGTAAATGACTTATTCCACGGGAGGACACAAGAATAAAGGAATAGGTGCTGAAAAAAATTTGGTGTATATCTATGATTCTGCATCAATTTAATCACTTCCCTTGATGGCCCCTGTTAGACAAATTTTGAGCTCTTATTTTATCTATGAATATATTACTGGAAGAAGAGTATTTACTGGTAACATGGAAGTCAGTAGAATTTTCTGTATATTTTTGTCACTATGCCAAAGGTTTTGAGATAAACTGGATGGGTGTGTCCAGTGACTGACTATTTGCTCAGTATTGTTTATTTGGATATCGATATTCAGAATGATTTTTTTTTTCTGTATTTCTGCCTACAAAAGTTGAAATGTCATATAGAGATTGATGTTTAACCCCTGTTGAAACTTGATTTTGTTTGTCTTCAGATTCACTAACATGCATTATATTGTGATCCTATTGACTCTTTATCATATTTTCACATGACAGTATAATATTTAGATGTTTCAATGTATTGACACTTATCTGATATGTTATTTAGGTATGCCAGTCAGATGTTGCAGTATAATAACACTTATCTGATATGTTGTTTAGGTATGCCAGTCAGATGTTGCAGTATAATGACACTTATCTGATATGTTGTTAAGGTATGCCAGTCAGATGTTGCAGTATAATGACACTTATCTGATATGTTGTTAAGGTATGCCAGTCAGATGTTGCAGTATAATAACACTTATCTGATATGTTGTTTAGGTATGCCAGTCAGATGTTGCAGTATAATAACACTTATCTGATATATTGTTTAGGTATGCCAGTCAGATGTTGCAGTATAATGACACTTATCTGATATGTTATTTAGGTATGCCAGTCAGATGTTGCAGTATAATAACACTTATCTGATATGTTGTTTAGGTATGCCAGTCAGATGTTGCAGTATAATGACACTTATCTGATATGTTGTTAAGGTATGCCAGTCAGATGTTGCAGTATAATAACACTTATCTGATATGTTGTTTAGGTATATCTCTGTCATTAGAACAATGGAATAATCTCAAGGATCAAATGGAGGAGATCGACCGGGCAGTGAAGGGTGTGTGAGCATCATACATTCAGTTGGACTGGAATCATATACACATAAGATCTTATAACGGAATGTAATGACTATGTATCTCTAGGTGCTATAGTAATGCTAATGATTTTGAGAACAGAGAATAGACCGTGTGAATGGAATCTTGTAGTATTGTATTGGTGCAAATAGAAAGATGAAAGTAAGTGTTGTGGAGCTAAAACAGAAATGAATTAATACAGTAATGAGTGAAAGACTGGTTATGATGCAAGGAAAATTGGACACTCTAATGTTTGAGGATAATTCAGTTTATTGTAATTACTTAAATTTTGTTACATTTGCAGTGATCAATTGACAATTTATTTTAACAAGCCTCTTTGCTTTCAATTTTGTTGTTGAAAACAATGGGTCCCTCAATGTAAGATTTAAGCATTTTTGAAAATTCTTTTGAGTTAGCTAAACATCCTGTGAGTACAAGATTCAGGACATGTAGATTTACCACTGTATTTGTATCAATGTATTTTTGTTACATTATCTTTTGTTATCACATGCCTGTAATATTACTTAGTAGAGCTTTGGCTGAAGGTTCCTGTTGCTTCCATTGTGACATCATAACTACATGTGATAAACAGAATCTTATAATCATTTTCATTTCAAATTTAATTTATGAAGTTCAACCAAAAAGTTGTCATTTTTATACGCCACAGGAGGCCGTTGTATATTGGCGTCATCTTCTCCGTCTGTCCGTATGTCTGTCCGTACGTCCATTTCTTGTGAAGGCAACTCCTCCTAAACTAATCATCAGATGGGTAGATGTGCATGAAAGGGCGATTTTTTGGTTCATTGATTTTTGTATGATTTATGCCATTTTCAACTTTGTATCTGTAGCTTGCTCATAGTGGAGCCTTGTGAATGCAACTCCTCCTAAAATAATCATCAAATTTTCACGAACTTGCACAATGTTACTTCTACAATGGGTAGATGTGCATGAAGGGGCAATTTTACAGTTCATTGATTTTTGTAAGATTTATGATACAGACATGTGAAAAGTGATAATTAAAAGGACCAATCTTGATGTTTATATTTTGTGGTGGCGTATATTGTGTCCACGGCACTCTTGTTAAACTTAGTCTCTGGATAAGTAAAAAGTGACAAATTTTAAGACTTGTTTGATAAATATCATATGAAAAGGAAACCAAGGTAAGATCCTCTGTATCTTATTTTTTCTCCAACATAACCAGAGATACTTTGTTAGATATTGATTGAATATTAATTGATGCTTAAAGATTTTGCCATGTAAACTGCATTTTGCATGTCAACCTAATTGATAGGGATGGGTTAAAGACTCGAGGCCTAGCTACCAGTGGATAAAACGATGGAAAGTTTATCACAGCTACACTGTAGTTACTGGATTAATATATATAGGATAGGAATTAAGGGTTTGAAAATTTAAAAGAAACAAAATTTTATGAGGATCAAGTCAAATGGAAGAATTCTTTTATATCAATAACTACTTCTTCGAAGTGAGAAAGTAAATTTCCATTTTTACTGTAATTCAAAATGCTTTATGTGTTCATATGTATTAAAAAAAATCATTTGAATTTGAAAAAAAAATTTGTATCACTTTACAAGTTATATTTTTTTGTGGTGTTATTTTAATGCATTTATTTCTCATCTACATACCTAATAATTTCTGATTGGAAATATGAATAGATATTGAGTCAGGCAGTCTGTAAGTTTCAGTTCATGTTTTGTAACTTAAAAATAGATGGTTGTTCAATGTCTGGTAAATGCTTTTGTTCTTTTTTCCTTAAGTAATTGTCCACATGGCAGAATTCATCCATTTTGGAAAGTCATCTGAAGTACATGCCTGTTGTATATACCTGTCACAAATATAATGTGCTGTAGTTTTACTATTGCTATATATAAAGTATATTTGTCCAAGTGTTCCAGGACTCCTAGTCACTGGTCAGCTACAGATCTGTGATCCATACTCTCTAACAAAAGTGTACAAAATTCAGGGACCAATAATAGATGAAAATTTCATTGATAATAGCTTAAGCCATCTAGCTTGAACATCAAGACATAATGATATTCCATACAAGACTTTTGTGGTGTTGTTTGGAGAGTACAATTTCACTACAGATATGTAAAAATATGTTACATGGTCATGTGTTTGTGTGTGATGCTTGATTATAATCCTCTAAGGAATGAAGGCGATAGGGAGCTGATCATGATTTTCTAAAAACATTTATGTTAACAGTGACTTTGACCTGACAACCCTGAAACTCTGAAGTTATCCATTTAAATTGAATGTTGTATAAGTGTATCAAGTTTGATTAGCACCCCTCAAGGAATGAATAGGCTGGAGTGTTGGCGGTGATTGTCTGTACTCTGATAACCCCTCAAGGAATGAATAGGCTGAGTGCTGGCGGTGATTTTGTGTTGTCTGATAACCCCTCAAGGAATGAATAGGCTAGAGTGCTGGTGGTGATTTTGTGTTGTCTGACAACCCCTCAAGGAATGAATAGGCTGGAGTGTTGGCGGTGATTTTGTGTTGTCTGATAACCCCTCAAGGAATGAATAGGCTAGAGTGCTGGCGGTGATTTTGTGTTGTCTGATAACCCCTCAAGGAATGAATAGGCTGAGTGCTGGCGGTGATTGTCTGTATTCTGATAACCCCTCAAGGAATGAATAGGCTAGAGTGCTGGCGGTGATTTTGTGTTGTCTGACAACCCCTCAAGGAATTAATAGGCTGAGTGCTGGCGGTGATTGTCTGTATTCTGATAACCCCTCAAGGAATGAATAGGCTAGAGTGCTGGCGGTGATTTGGTGTAGTCTGATAACCCCTCAAGGAATGAATAGGCTGAGTGCTGGCGGTGATTTTGTGTTGTCTGATAACCCCTCAAGGAATGAATAGGCTAGAGTGTTGGCGGTGATTTTGTGTTGTCTGATAACCCCTCAAGGAATGAATAGGCTGAGTGCTGGCGGTGATTTTGTGTTGTCTGATAACCCCTCAAGGAATGAATAGGCTAGAGTGCTGGCAGTGATTTTGTGTAGTCTGATAACCCCTCAAGGAATGAATAGGCTGGAGTGTTGGCGGTGATTTTCTGTAGTCTGATAACCCCTCAAGGAATGAATAGGCTAGAGTGCTGGCGGTGATTTTGTGTTGTCTGATAACCCCTCAAGGAATGAATAGGCTAGAGTGTTGGCGGTGATTTTGTGTAGTCTGATAACCCCTCAAGGAATTAATAGGCTAGAGTGCTGGCGGTGATTTTGTGTTGTCTGATAACCCCTCAAGGAATGAATAGGCTAGAGTGTTGGCGGTGATTTTGTGTAGTCTGATAACCCCTCAAGGAATGAATAGGCTAGAGTGTTGGCGGTGATTTTGTGTACTCTGATAACCCCTCAAGGAATGAATAGGCTGAGTGCTGGCGGTGATTGTCTGTATTCTGATAACCCCTCAAGGAATGAATAGGCTAGAGTGCTGGCGGTGATTTTGTGTTGTCTGACAACCCCTCAAGGAATTAATAGGCTGAGTGCTGGCGGTGATTGTCTGTATTCTGATAACCCCTCAAGGAATGAATAGGCTAGAGTGCTGGCGGTGATTTGGTGTAGTCTGATAACCCCTCAAGGAATGAATAGGCTGAGTGCTGGCGGTGATTTTGTGTTGTCTGATAACCCCTCAAGGAATGAATAGGCTAGAGTGTTGGCGGTGATTTTGTGTTGTCTGATAACCCCTCAAGGAATGAATAGGCTGAGTGCTTGGCGGTGATTTTGTGTTGTCTGATAACCCCTCAAGGAATGAATAGGCTAGAGTGCTGGCAGTGATTTTGTGTTGTCTGATAACCCCTCAAGGAATGAATAGGCTAGAGTGTTGGCGGTGATTTTGTGTTGTCTGATAACCCCTCAAGGAATTAATAGGCTAGAGTGCTGGCGGTGATTTTGTGTTGTCTGATAACCCCTCAAGGAATGAATAGGCTAGAGTGTTGGCGGTGATTTTGTGTAGTCTGATAACCCCTCAAGGAATTAATAGGCTAGAGTGCTGGCGGTGATTTTGTGTACTCTGATAACCCCTCAAGGAATCAATAGGCTAGAGTGCTGGCGGTGATTTTGTGTACTCTGATAACCCCTCAAGGAATGAATAGGCTAGAGTGTTGGCGGTGATTGTCTGTACTCTGATAACCCCTCAAGGAATGAATAGGCTAGAGTGTTGGCGGTGATTTTCTGTAGTCTGATAACCCCTCAAGGAATGAAGCTGCCAGAACACTGAGGATGGACGGGAAGAGGAAAATAGAAATAAATCAAACAAAAAATGTAGAGGAATGTACCGAAAAAAACCTTAAATCTCTCGACAAGATTGATGTACGAAAACAAACAAAGGGCATTAAATCTTGCAAAAAGCTATATACCATTCAAGAGAGCACAATTCAATGTCATTATACATTTAGTAAAGCCTGCTAAATTTCAATGGAATAAATTCAAAACCGAGAGAGTAGATGTCCGGACAGAGCTGACATGCTGAAAAAAGGAAAATAAGTCTTCCAAAATATTTTGAAAATGCTGTTCATGAAAACAAACCATCATCATGAAGCTGCTACGTTCGAAAGAGCTAGATAATATTTAAAAAAGGCAAAATTTTGGACGGGCATTTAAAATCGATAACAGATAATATCGGAACTCTTTGGACTTACTAGACTCATACAAAAGGAATACTATTTGCGCCACACAGACAAGAGAAATAATCAAATAGCTTGCTATTGACCGGTAATTCGCTCGGATATATTGAGACTGTCTTGTCTTTAGATAACAAAATTTCCGATAAATGCATACCTTCCGAATTATTTTTTACCTCAATTTTACTTATAACGTAACCACTGATAACTTTTAACAAAGCTTATTTTAATTTCAATATTGCAATATGAATTCGGATTCACTCTATATTTGTTCTATTTCTGGTGGTTTCGAAGTTTGCGAATACCAATTTCATATACTCATATATTTACTTGTAATATACTACATGTATATATAGTATTCATTTATACTATCAGTATAGATGTATGGGTTTGGGTGATTACTAATGTGTACGATATGAGGATATGTGTGAATGATAAGATTTTTCCATTTTTAGGTCATCTGACCCGAAGGGTCCGATGACCTATAGTCATCATGCTTCGTCCGTCGTCGTCCGCCGTGCGCCGTCCGTAAACTTTTCATTCAAACGACTTCTTCTCAATAATTGGAAGGCCCAGGCAACTAATATTTGGCCTGTAGCTTGCTTTGATGAAGCCCTACCAAGTTTGTTAAAAAGAATGACCTTGACCTTCATTCAAGGTCACAGGGGTCAAATGTCTTAAAATCTTCAAACGACTTCTTCTCAATAACTGGAGGGCCCAGGCAACTAATATTTAGCCTGTAGCTTGCTTTGATGAAACCCTACCAAGTTTGTTCAAATGAATGACCTTGACCTTCATTCAAGGTCACAGGGGTCAAATGTCTTTAAATCTTCAAAGGACTTCTTCTCAGTAATCAAAAGGCCCAGGCAACTAAAATAAGGCCTGTAGCATGCTGGGATGAAGGACTACCAAGTTTGTTCAAATGAATGACCTTGACCCACTTTAAAGGTCACAGGGGTCAAATATGTTAAAATCTTTAAACAACTTCTTCTCAATAACCAAAAGGCTCAGATTGCTGATATTGTGCCTGTGGCATGCTGGGATGAAGGGCTATCAAGTTTGTTTAAATGAATGACCTTGAACAACTTTCAAGGTCACAGGGGTCAAATATGTCAAAATCTTTAAATAACCTCTCAAGTACTAGAAGGCCTAGGGGGCTAATACTTGGCCCATAGCATGCTGGCATGGAGCCCTACAAAGTTTGTTCAAATGAATGACCTTGGCCCACTTTCAAGGTCACAGGGGTCAAATATGTTAAAATATACAAAGGACTTCATCTCAATAAGCAAAAGTCTATGAGTGCCGATATTAGGTCTGTAGCATGCTGGGAGGAAAGGCTACCAAGTTTATTTAAATGAATGACGTTGAACAACTTTCAAGGTCGCAGGGGTCAAATATGTCAAAATCTTTAAATAACTACTTCTCAAATACTAGAAGGCCTAGGGGGCTAATACTTGGCCCATAGCATGCTGGCATGGAGCCCTACAAAGTTTGTTCAAATGAATGACCTTGGCCCACTTTCAAGGTCACAGGGGTCAAATATGTTAAAATATACAAAGGACTTCATATCAATAAGCAAAAGTCTATGAGTGCCGATATTGGGTCTGTAGCATGCTGGGAGGAAAGGCTACCAAGTTTATTCAAATGAATGACCTCAACCCACTTTCAAGGTCACAGGGGTCAAATATGTTAAAATATACAAACGACTTCTCAACAAGCAAAAGTCCATGAGTGCTGATATTGGGCCTGTAAGATGCTTGGAGGAGAGGCTACCAAGTTTGTTCAAATGAATGACCTCAACCACTTTCTAGGTTTGGCTTGCTTTTTGTCAGATGACCGTTAAGGCCCATGGGCCTCTTGTTTAAAAATGAAATTTTTTTGAAAGCCAGACGAAATTTTTTTTATACATTGAAATTTTCTGTATGTGTAGATTGAACATCTAAACCATACTTTTAATACAAGATATGGTGTTAATGTGGAAAATGTGTACGGTATCCTGACAAATCTGCGTCGTTGGTCGAAAAACATCAAGAAAATACCAACCTGTTGACAGAATCATAATCCAAACTTGAATTCCATAAAACTGGAACAAAATATGAACAAAAGAAA